AGTAAATACAAAAAGAAAGCTCCTACTGGAATTCGAATCCAGATCATTTCTTCGCTCAGTGACGCAAGGGGTGTTGATCCCGCGACTTAGGAGAGAAACGCACTAACCATTATGCTATAGGAGCAGCAAGCGCGAGGATAAAAATTTCCAAGCTAATTCAGCGGCTTTTCTGTATTATCTGAAGAATAACAGTCAAGAACCACCAGCACGCCATTTGGGCATTAGCTGCTGGGCGCCTTTTTTGCGTGTATTCTTCTGCTTGGCCTATGCCAGCAGCTGGCATTGCTCCGCTCTCTGTGACCCCACACTGTTGTCCAGCCAGCTCCACCTGCAAGCGACCTTCAGAGTGCATAACAAGAGAGCAAAGTCTCTGGATGGCATTTATTGTCGTCAACAAGATCAAGCTGCAAGCAACTCCTTCAAGCCCTCGTTCCTTTCCTGTCGCCACATTTTTGTTTTGCTTTTCCTTCTTCTCTCCGAGTCAATTTCAATTGCCAATTTCTATTCATTCGCCGCTCCACGTCATTGACTGCATCGTCGACCGCGTCGTCGGCAGCAACCGCCAAAGGATCAAAGAGGTCGTAGTCGGCTCGAGCCAGGGCCGGGTTCTGCTGAGGCCGCTTCTCTGGGCGTGCAACGGGCTTCGCGCCGTCGCCCGCTTGCGGTACTGCAGTCTCTTAAAGCTCGAGCTTGCTTGCTCGCCATCCTACCTGCTTGCCAACCGGCCTGCAGAGCTCACACTACTAGATGTGGGCTTCCGGCCGAGCAACTGCCTGGGCCACGCTACACACCACCTGGCCAAGTGCCTGATAGCCGAGCTGGACGAGCGAGCCATCTACTCGGGCCAGGCGCTGATGATGCTGTCGCAGCCGCCCTTTTCTGGCTGCGCGTTTCAGCTGGCTCGCAGCATCACGTTCATCGTTTTCCTTGACAAGCCAGCTGAGAGGAATGGATCGTACGATTTAGTTGACGATAGCACGCCCGAGTCACAAAGAATGCAGGCAAGCGCTGCTGCTTTTGTGCAGCGTGCCAAGCAGATGGCACCACGGATAAGCAAGGTTGAAGTGCTGTACGAGAG